ATATCTCGAGGGCCTTTAGTTTTTATATCCAATTTTGTTGTAAAATTTTGTTAACTTTAATTATTGATTTCGCTATTATGATTAATTATGTTCTGCAATACTTAGTTATGTTTAAGAGCGCGCTATGGTTATTGGACTATGTAATGTGCTGTAGTTTGACCCGTTTCTCGCCTACCCCTACCTATGTTATATGTGTGTATGTAGTCTTAATTGGACAGACTAGGCATCCTAGTCAAGCTTACTATCTGATCAGTGTAGTCGTTTTTAAATTTTACACTTTACACTACCTTCGCTGTGTGTAGATTCCCGTAAATATGTTTAGCTAAAATTATTAAATCTATATTATCAAATCGCGGGGCTCACCTGCATTCTGTCTGATGGAGAGATTTCTACTATATACTATTCAAGTAATGTCATTCGCTTGGACTGCGTGCGACTTTTGCCTTAATTCTGCTCGGACTCTGCAGATATCTATATAAGCTTTAGTCTCTCCTGCTTCTCCGCTCTTAGACCAAAACTTCTTTGGTGCTACACTGTACAAAGAAAAAAAAAAAGGAAAAAAAAGAAAGAGGAAAGAAAAATTTGTACACTCTACACTTAAATTTTAATATACAAAAAAAAAAGCTCTTTATATTTACATAATTAATTTTATTTTTAATAGTTGCAAATTTTTTCGATAAGTCATCTTTTACTATTTTTTTTTTTCGGACTAGGGCACATATTCGCTTTGGTTTAGTTTGAAACTGTATAAGAGAACAGATTCTATATATATGTTTTTATTATTTTTCAACTTTGCATGTAGCAAATATTTGGCCTTTTCCGAAAAAAAGAAAAAAAAAAAAAACCTTAACTTAAATAAAATTTAATTTTATTTAAAAAGAATATACATGAATAAACCAAAAGATGTTGAAGAAAAAAAAAAAAAAAAAATGTTATCAAGAATTTTCGTTGAATATTGATTGGTGTTGGAACTAAAAAAAAATAACGCAAATTTATGAAATAGCTTAACATTTTTCTTTGGCTCTCTTAAAAAAAAAGATTCACTAACAATTGTAGTTCGTCGCACACATATTTGTTTCTGTATCTTTAATCCATGCAAACTCGAACTTTATTTGACTCTAATATGCTTTCCACTGAAAAAAAAAAAAGAGYTCTCTCTCATATTGCATCTACTCCATCAATAAATCAAACACACTCACAGACACTCTAACGGGACACAAAAAATGATATCATATGAAAAGAAATGAGAAACGTATATATAAAATAATATAATGTTGCCCCTTATATGCACTCTCATAACACAACCTCATGTTGAATCCATAACCAAGTCATTAACAAATCGTTTTTTATCTTGTCTTCTCTCTTTTCGCTGCCTCGTTGTAAACTCACCAAATCTAATTAATAAATAATGTTTAATTATCGCAACTCATGCATCAAACGACCAAACAACCAACCAACCCGACAAATAACCGAATCATTCATCAATAATCAATGTGTCTCAATAGGCCAACAATAAGAACATTTTGGTAAAGAAGGTTTTCATTTTGAAAGGCGGTAATAATACGTAATGATGAGCCAACGATATGACCAGCGGCCCTGGAGGTGGTGGAGCACTCGGGGGCGGTGGGCAACCAGCGCAGCAGCAGCAGCACAGCGGCAGCAGCAACACTAAATGTGGCAGCAGCAGCAGCGGTAGCAGCAACAACAACAACAGCAGCAGCGAACGCAGCAGCGCAGCRACAGCAGTGAACAGCAGCAGCAGCACTGGAGCAGTAACGACAACAACTGCAACTGGTGGATCCCTGCAGCGCCGCGTCCTGCGCGGCCATGCAGCGCAGACAACCAGTGGAGAGCGCGTGCTGCTGATTAACTATGTGCCGCAGTCGGGAGCATCAGCATCAGGAGCAGGAACATCAACAACCTCCACAGTCAGCGCATCACAGTTGCCCACACGCAAAATACTTCAGGCCAGAGCCACGGCAGCAGCAGCAGCAGCAGCTGCAGCATCGACAGCATCAACATCAGCAACAGCAGCTAGCAGCACACAGGCAACGACGCCGTCTGTGTCCTTTGCTGGCCTTGGCTCTGAGGTGACAGTTACCCTGACGCGCACCAATCAGCGCGCCAGCGTAACCAATGTCACAGCCGCCGGTCATATTGTTAGGAATCAGCAAACCGTCTATCAAACAACCACCACATCCGCAGCTGGCGGATCAACCAGCTCGACAAGCGTCCACGAGCCAGTGCAGCACTTGGCGGCAYCAACATCGCCGCCGCCGCTGCGCTGGCAGCAGCAACAGCACGAATACCAACACGACCACCACTTGGTCGAGGAGGAGCACATTATCATCGATCATCATCAGCAAGCAGAGGCGGATGATCACCTGATCGAGTATGATGCCAGCGAGGGAGTTGTCATTGAGGATCAAGATCAGGACCACCATCAGCAGCAGGATCACCATCAGCAACAGCAGCAGCACCATCATCACCTGCAGCACCAACACCATCAGCTGGATCTGCAGGAGGAGCTGCAGGATCCCGATGGACAACAGCAGCAGCATCACGACGTAGTCCAAGAGGTTTACCTGCAATAGAACAACAGTGTTACATAAGGAAACCCCAATCCATTACCAATTATCCATGTAGTACACACAAATAAATAGCTGTTAGTTTCCTCTAAGTTTCGATCACATTGAGCTTTCCCAATGGATATATGCCTAAGTATGTGTTTTACGATCCTAGACAACATATGTATGTGTGTGAGCTGGGCTGGTTTTACAAACTCTTAGCATATTTATTCACTTCGTAATGCTCCGAAGTTTTATTGTAAATATATTGATATGATATATGAGACATTTTCAACAATTTAATGAGAAAATAAAATTTTTAAGCAAATGTAAGTAAAGGTCGATGTATAAAGTTAATTCAAATGTAAGGAAAATATATTATAAAACAACAAATTATTTAAGAAATATTCAAATACAAATCAATATTTTTGTACCATACAAATTATGCTTGAAGTTCGAAAACAATATACAAATATTTCATAATTTGAATTTATGAAAAGAAAATTATATATAAATTTATCAATATCAATTGTAAAATACAGATTTCAAAAAATATATAGAAATTCCATTTAAAATACGTAAACTTAATAATATAAATATAATTAATAATTTAAAAGAAAAAAGAAAACATTTTTCAAATTAAATAAAAACCTGTTGATGAAGACGGCGCCCAGAGGATAAGCAACCATATATGATATAGATAGACATATATCTCTGTATATGGTGTATGTAACCCGCGTTTGGGGCCAATGCAATAAAGTGATGCGGTATGTGTACTGGAAGCTAAAGAGAATAAGCAGAACAACTTTGTTTGATGGGGGCCGACTCGACATGAATGAAATCTGTGGCTTGAATATATATATATATTTATTTATTATTTAATTTAATTTTATTTGTGTTTGCGTCTTTGTGGTGTTGCTTAATAAGCACACGCTTGTCATCTAAATTACAAAAGCCATCTTATTTACAAACTCATAACATTCTCTTTACATCGTGGCAAATTAACATAACTATAACAAACTACAAGCTAAATATGACAGTTGGAAAAAATGTACATAATTGTGGTTTCCATTTTCCATTAGTTTCATCAAACCTTTTTAAATTGCACAAGAAAATCGCTACGTTCCAATTGTTTATAAAACTTCTAGGAATTACATACGTTATTTTGTTGTTTTTATTTTGAAATTTCATTTTAGTATTTTTGGAAATTTCTATTATAATAACAGGCACTAACTACAGCTTAGTAGACATTTCCTAGATTTGTCTATAAATATCTTTTGTTTCCTGCTCAACTATATGCTTAAAATGTCATAAAATGCATTTTCAAATATTATTGTTCAAAGTTATCTATTAACACTTTTGGACCTGCATTCGTTTGATTCTCTTTTGTTTTTGTTTTTGCTTGTGTTTTAATTTTGGAAGTTTTGAAGCGTTTTGATTTCAACTACATTTATCAATAAAATTGTTGAATTGAAATGCATCTTTTTAAGTACCAATTAATTCGCACTGCTCTAACTTGTCTGCAAGCTTTACAATTTTCTCATTAAATACATTAAATATTACTGTAAAATTCATATAGTTAATCATTCTACTTGGCGCTCTTCATCAGCCGGCTGCTGGCGAAGCACTCGCCAAAGAAACGGTCCAGCGAGTGATATAAATGAGGGCGTACGTTGACCAGTCCGTGGTCCTCATCGGCGTAGCTCTGTACGGGCAGCGAAGAAAGGATAAAAGTTAGTTAAGTAACACTAGTATACCCCATAGTAGAGTCTCTGCTTACAATTTGCTTAAAGAGTATGTCATGTCGCTCCAGATTCTTGGCCAAGATCATGGCCTGCTGGTAGTGCACATTGTCATCGGATGTGCCATGGACGAGCAAGTACTTCTTGCCCCGCAGCTTCTGGGCCCGCGTGCTCAGTCGCGAGTTGGCATAGCCAATCTCATTTGTCTCCGGCAGACCCATGTAACGTTCCGTATAAATAGAGTCTATAAGTCGGAAAATATTTGAAACTCATGCAAAATAGAAGACTTAATCAGTATAATACCATAATAGGTCCAATCGGTAACTGGCGCTATAGAGGCGGCGCACTTGAACACTCCATTGTCATCGTTGGCCAGCGCCATGGCCGCGGCATAGCCACCGTAGCTCCAGCCCCAGATGCCGATGTGCTCATCATCGATGTAGTCAAACATTTTCGTCAGGTTTCTGGCAATAAATTGAGTTTGATACATTTAATTAATATTATGAAATGAGAAACTTTAGTAAACGATGAATATGATGAGATGAGAGGGTTTTGTAGATAAACAAATTAAATTTTAACCATCTTCAGATAATAAATAAATGGATGCTGTTATGCATATAGTTAAGAGGAATTTAAGGAATATTTATAAAAGAAGGTATAGATAGTATGGATAGTATTAATACCGAAATATCTTCTGTCAATGGTATATATAAAGAATATTTCCTTTTGTGATTTATATATGTATTTTGGGATAATATATTTATATGCGCGACGGATATGATCGTAACCACTATATCCAAAAATAATCAAATAAGGTGTAAAGCGGATGATTGAGGAGAGAAGAAAAACCGGAGAGAAGTGAGAAGGAGAGGGATGCTGATTATATTCTCTATTCCTAACACTTACTTCGTAACCTTGATCTGATCGCTGATTTCAACTGTGCCCAGTTGCAGATAGATGGCATGCAAGAGGTTCTCGCCGCGCAGTCCCGAGCCGCGTCCATCGATCTTGGCATAGATCACAGATTGGTTCGAGGACAGGTAGGTGCCCCAGTCCATCATCCATTTGTTAGTCACCTGTGTAAAGACCAAGCTTTAGCTTTCCGTTTTACCCATATCAATCAGTGCTTACGGAATAGGAATCGGGTCCGCCGTAGACATCGACTAGCATTGGATATTTGGTTGAGCCGCTGGTATCCAAATTGGGAGGCAGCTGGAGCAGCACCTTCGCCTGGAAGCCGCCGTCGATGTTGACGGTGAGTATCTTGTGCGAGGGCAGTGCCACGCCTCGCAGCTTGGAGCGCAATACGTCGTTATTCTCCCAATCCATTAGCTTCTTCAAAGTTACCTGAGCTAAAATTAGATAAGACAGAGAGAAATTCAAGTCTTTGTTACGTGTGAGCATTGGGATTCCACTTACAGTTCGCATAGGTCCATTCGTATACGGCTGTCGTGGGTATGCCTGGTCCCAGAGAGGAAATCACAATTTGATTATTGTCATTGAAGACGGCCGAGTAGTAGCTCTGCTCCACATCGCCCGAGGTCATCAGCTTGCACGTCAGACACTTGGGCGTCTGCTTGCGTGTGGCCAGCGCTCGAATCGCATAGAGATGCAGCTGCTCCGGATGCTCCTCAGTGTTGGCCGTATAGAAGATGACGTCATGCGTGGGGTCCCAGTGGAGTATACTGTCCACCACAAACTTGCCGCTGGTCAGTGGCTCCAGCTTGGCATTGCTCACATCTGTGGCAAGCAGCTGCAGATGCTTGTAGTTGTCGTGGGGCAGCACGAAGGCCAGCTTGGAGCCGTTGCGGTTCTTGAATGGAGCCGTATAAAGGTCAACCCAGCCGGTCTTAGATTCAATGCTGTACAGCTGCAGGCAGGAAAGTTGTTTTTTATACAATTCATAAAGAGAAGTTTAACCTTACTAACATAAAATGTTAACTAACATATGCTGTCTTTTATATTGTCTTTTAAGCATGGTAATACATATTTTGTACAATTTCTCTCTGCTGCTGGAAATAAGTAGTCCTGGTAATTAGGTATGTTTTTAAGAATTCGATTCCCTTTCACTTGATAATGTCTTCTGAGTATTTATATCTCAACTAAGTTCATAAGGCTTGAGTACTTACCACCTTGCGGCTACGTCCATCGAAGGTGATGACATAGGCAGCGTTTTGAACACGATTCATCCAGACTGACAAGACATTATCATTGTCCAGCCAGCTGACTACTGTGACTATGTAGTCGGTTTCAGTGTTTAGGGCACTTGGCACTGGCATCGAAGTGAGGAACTCTTTGCCCTCTAGCGCTCGCTCGAGATCGGCCGTAAAGAGTACGACGCGGGGATTTGAGGAGCCCGCCTTGGGATATGGGATCTCCTGGTGCAGCGGATACTGGAAACGCAGATCTCCGGCATCGCCGTAGTAGGGGAAGTTGATGACGTGCGTGGGCGAGTCGTCGAATTGAATGAAGGCGATTTGAGTGCCCGTGGGGTTGAACCATGTGGCCACATTTGAGCTGAACACCTCCTCCTCGTACACCCAGTCGGGTATGCCATTCAAAAATATGCCATTCTCGTCGCTGGTGATGGCTATCTCTGGATCCAGAGCACTCTTCTTGTAATACAAGTTGCGGTTGAAGTTCATGATCAGCGCGTTGCCCACCGGCGCCCATTGAACCATGCTGAGGAGCACCTGCTCGTTCCGAATTGTCAGCGGAGTGAAGGTGTTCGAGCTGAAATTATATATGTCGTATTCGGCCAAGAAGCTGTAGCGGAAGTTCTTCTTGTAGTTCTTGGCCAAGAGCAACAGCTGGCCATCAGCGGACTTCTCGAAGAGCACATAGTGCGCCGCATTCGACAGCAGCGTGGTAACCACTTGCGTCTTTGTATCCAGCTCCACAATATCCTAGAAGCATTAACACCTTGTATACTGGATCTATTGTGAATGCAAGTCTCGTACACCTACCGCATTGACTCTGTAGATCACGCTGTTGCCATTGCTCCAGCTGCCGTTGAAGCGTTTCGCATATAATTGACCGCTGAGCACATCCTCCAGATTGATGGCATTGTCCTTGGGCTTATCGCTGCTGCCGTTCTCGTCGTCCGAGCGCAGGATAAGCGCCAGCATTGTAGCCAGCAGGGCTATAGCGATAATTCCGCCAACCACACATAATATGATGCGCACTCTACGCTTCTTTTCCTTGGAGTAGACCAGGTTCTGCGGAGCAAGAGATTAGAATTGATTTTAGTGGAGCTCATTGATAAGAAATTAGTTTACAATGTATTATACAATTTAATCAATACGAAGTTAGGCAATTTTCCAATTTTGCAATGTTTTTATTTTTATTTTTTATTTAATACACAAATCGTATAAATATTTTTTTCTTGTTGGAAAAGATTAATTAATTACTAATCGTAAATATAAATATAAATATAAATTCAAAATATAACTTTACAAAAGCTATAATTTTTTTCAGTAATTTATATAAATGTCTAATATGGGAAAAAATATTTCTAATTTCTTGAAAATATATAGAAATTAACTATATAATGTAAAAAATTATATAATGAAGAAAATTATGTAAAATTTTTATTAATCCAATTTGTATTAATCACATGGAAATATACAGAATTAAATATATATTTTAATTAGTTAAAAATTTTCAATATAATATTTAAATACTACATCATCAACTCTCTGATATGAATGAAATTCGCATATAAGGTCAGATCTTAACATCTAACAAAAGAGAACTATATCTTTTGTCCAGTTTATTATTGATGAAGCTCTAATCGTTTTTTTTTTTACCATAACTAGAGATCAAATCATACATTAGAGCTTAGATTTATTATAGTCTAGAGTCTCAAAATTCGTGTTTATATTATACTATATATATTATAGATTTATAATAAACAGGAACTATTGAGACTCTACATTTTGATAATTCTAAGCTCTATAACCCGCCTTTTATTCCTAAAATATACTCAATACGCAAAACCTCTAATGGTACTACGTCAATAAATATATTTATTTTGGTGCAATTATAGCAAGGTATTCAAAACCCGAATCACGTTTTACAGAGCCGTCGAAAAGCTGAGTTTTGCATACAAATTACCGCTGCTCAGGTGTAGCTGCGCATTCGAATGCGCTTTTTCTCTTCGGCCACGATCAGAAATCACGAGACGTTGGCTGAAAATGAAAGTAGTTTTGTTTTCTACCAGTCTACCGACTCGGAACAGGTTTACAGATTGTTAGCTGGCCGGGAGCTATTCAAACAGGGGAAACCGACAATTGCGCCATGACGTAACCCCGTTAAGCGTTTACCAGGTAGCCAAGAAATTGTTATTTTATATAACAAATTTTTATTGACTTTTGGTTTTGGTATTTTCAGCGTGCCATAGAAAGAAACTACTCAATTTGTATGATAGAGAGATGTCCACACTTGTCTTATAATAAAAGTAAATTACACTTTGTGTGTCACTAGAAATAATGCCAAATGGCATTTGTTGACAATTTCATAATGGATTTGAGACTAGCTCAAGGTTAAGCGGATTAATATAATTGCGAATGAATTATGTTCATTGACGTTAAAGTCGGCAAATAAATGAACGCGGATATGATCTGAGAATATATATATATGTAATAAATATAATATATATGTAATAAACGATTATGAAATGCATATATAATATGAGAAGCCTATTTTATACATTTTGGAATGACTTTTGTAAGGATGTCTTTGAGAGTATATAACGTACTTATAAGTATTATAAGTAATTTCTTTACTTCTTCAACTTAAGTACATGAGCTGAGAATACTTACTCAACCGGTTATTTATAAAGATTCCAATTATATAAAGATTTCAAATCCAGTTAGCTGAGTCTTGCCATTTCTTTTCTTCTTTATAGCATTGCATATATTTTCAAATAATCTCGCATAACTAAATCAGAGTCTAGCCAACCTTTGCACTTATCACACAGTCAACTAGCCGCACAAATGCCATTAAGATATGCAAAGGAAATCGAAGCGAACTTCCCCATAGAAATCCATTGAGTCGCAGCCCCACATCACGTATGCTCTGAATCCCCACATGATTTGCAGTGACGCAACTAAAATATATGGCACCTTGGTGCCAACTGTAGCTGTAACTGGCTTCGAAGACATGCTGGTTACAAGTTTTGCGATTTTATGGCTAGAATACAGCCATAAAATATGGCCCACTAGGCAATGCAATCACTTGGGTTTTGTTGTCTGGGCTTATGGGGTCAGCGTATTTATTAAACACAGATCAAATTGAAATGGTTTTTGTTTATTCGCACAGTTTTCGTTCTACCATCCATTTAATCTATTTCAGCACCAAGAGTTGCAATAAATTGGAATTGGAGTACTTCAGCTTTTAGATTCTGTTTGATACCTTTTGAAGAGTTTCATATAAGTGAAATATGTTTGGTAAAAATGAATTTTTGCTATCAATACATATTTGATTTGCTATCAATTAAAGTTGAATAAATATTTTCACTAACACTGAAAGGGTATTAAAAGCGCTTCAATTTATTTAGATAGAGAGAGAGAGAGAGAGAGAAAAAGAGAAAAATCAAATAATAATTCCAATTGGTTGGCTGGGGTGCAAATTGAAAACTCGCATGAATTCACAGATTCTATCTGTGCTCGACGCATGACTCTTGTCTGTCTGGAGATTGTTTTGGGAGTTGTGAATAGGATTTGTGCACAATATGGCGCAATTAGTGGCGCCAGACGAGGCCAAACGAATTTATTAAATATATATAAAACCGAAAGCTTTTAGGAGTCATCCATGCCCTATGGTGAGTAGAGGGCTACTAAAATCAGCTGCTTGGTTAGCTCSAGCTCYAATCCGAACGTTTGCTTGTGCACTTGAACTTCCGGCAATTAGTTGGCATCTATCTGGCCTGAGCTGGAGCCACAAAAAGAGTCCGAGCTAGGGCCACAGTCCAGAGCCATAGCCAGAGCAGAGCAAGGGTGGGTGGTGAAAATTAAATACAATTTATATCCATGTTGCACCACATGGCGTATACTTGTTTAGCATCAGTTGCCAATTTGTTGGCTGACACATAATCGCCTGTGGGTTGAGGCTAGAGACTCAGAGCTCGTCCATCCCAAATGCTCTGCTAAAAAATGAATGAGCTTAAAGAGCAGCCGCAGCATGTCTGATTAGGTGTCTTGGACTTGGGCATATCGAATGCCTAAGGATGGGTAATATAGGGTTGCTATGAAGTGCATTAATGTGAAAATGGTGAAAACAATTTTGATATTAAATAAATTCATTTGATGTAGATCTTTATATATGAAGACAATTTTGTTATTAGATGTGCGCTGATGACTCCTCATTGCACTTGAATAGAAAATATTATGGTTAAACCGAGTTCAATGTACAGTTGTCAATCATTTCCACTTTATTTTCAATTATGAAATCAAGTTGACTAAGTAAAATCAGTATTGAAACAAGATTTTCCTTAAAAATATAATGTTTTTGAATAAAATATTTGTGGCACAGCAAAAAATCTATATATTTTTCATACATAAATATAAATTTATTAATTTAGGATATCATTTAAATTTCGAAGTTCGAGGTAAAAAGAATTGTACTTCTTGTAAAGGAAAATAAAATATAGACTAAGAATACATTTTTAAACATAGAGTCTCTGTTGAGATATGGGCTCTGATAAATTTGGATAAAAATAATAATTATACTTGTAATATAGGTTAATAACAGACGCTACTTTATTACTGAATTTCGATGAGCTAAATGCGAACTGAAATTAGAATACCTCTCGTACGTCAGCGTTTTGTTGACCTATGTTGAAAAATGAAAGTATTATGTGTATTACACTTCTTTCTTCATATCGGGTTTACCAAGATATGGTATAGTTTTATTCTAGAATTCTAAATTTGATCTATTCACAGTAAGTCATATATGTATGTACATACAATATAACTATTTTGCATTATAATTACAGGTTTTTTTGCACAGGCTCTGCATTATTTAAGATACAACACACAAACTACATGGTATATTCCTTTGCCTTCTCCCTTTATCAATTTATATTTAGTCACTTATTTTAACTAATACGGTACCTTGCACCAGTCCATAGATTTAGCAAATAATCAACAGCAGAAATTCACTTGCAAATAATTGACTTTACTGCTGCCCAGGCACAACTACTCTGAAAGATCTCTATGGACTGAGGTCTCTTTTATTTATGTACCTCTATATAACACCGGCAGCCTGCTGAAAGGGTATTCCGATTTGTCCCCCGGAGAGAGCAAACGACAGAGAGATGGCCCTCGTCATTCCTTCGGTTTTTAATGAGTTCCCTTTTCTCGGGGCTGTATGGGCTTGTCATTTGTCGTTTAGTTTCTCATTAAGCCGCTAGTTAATTAGTTGTCCTGTTCCATAGTATTGCTATTGTGGCTAGCAGCAATTTTAATACAATTTTACGTAATGTACGCATAATTTTCGCTAATCATGCTAGACAAATGGGCATCGTAAATTGTTTTCTTTTCACCAAAGGGTATTTCTACTCTGACAGCAATTTTAAATGAGCTTTGCACTTACTTAATGAGTAAGAAAGTAAAGTAAGGAAATTACTTTTTTTTTTGTTTGGAGTACTTTGTATTAGTAGAGTTTTACCTAGCTTATGTAAACCTTACGACTTTTAAAGCTGTTGCAAAAAGAAGCCAACTTTAAATTTCAATGTGTTTATGATAGGAAACTATAAAGTGGGGGAGACAGTGCCCAGATAATGTTCATTTTCTTGTGTTCTCTTATTCCAGACAATTTTATATTTTGAAAAAATATTAATAATTAGCCAGGTGAGACCTTGATTTCAGGAATTGTATAAGTACTCTTTTCTGAGAATAATATTTTGTTACCTAACACCCTGTCTACCCCTGCCTTTTAGCACAATCCTTCAGCAGGGCATCAGGTAGCTCGTAAGGGTATTAGATTTTCCACTTTCGCACAACAGCTTCGCACCTTTTAGGGCGTGGTTATTCCCCAAGGTAGTTTTGCTTGTCGCTTGGTTTTCCATTAAACCAGCTAAGTTAATTAGTTGTCTGAGGCGTGTCGTTTTCTGATTATTGTTATTGCGCCCCACACCAAGAAAGCCAGCACAACTCTCACTTATCGTTGACATATTTTACGAATGTGTTTGAGTCCCCTGACTTAATTGATGTATTTATGTACATACGGAACTATTTGGGATTAGGATTTGAATCTATATAGATTTATTGTTATCACTGACCAAACTGGGACCGTCGTGAAGAAATTTCAATTTTTGTGCGCTGCTGAGCTTCATGATTTGAGAGCCCACAGAGAGAGAGAGAGGGAGAGTAAGACAAAAAACGCAAAGCRYATGCATGACCATTTCGTTTGCGTGCTTAGAGCGCACTGATTTCGTCGTGCTATCTTTCATTACCCGAGCCAGCCAATACCAAGCCGAGCGAATACGAAATTGGCCGGGACCTGCTACACAGATTTTGCGGCGTGGAAAAACGTTGCTCTACATGTCTAGTCTATGTGTTGTTTGGTCAGTGTTTTTATCCAATTATTCTAAACAAAGATTTATTTACTATCCGATTAAGTTTTTGCCGCTCCGCCGCTTAATTGTTCCCTGAGGCGTGGCACACTGGGAAATACTAGCAAAAGAGTTCGAAGTTCAACAATTTACAGATCTAAAAATCTTGCTACTGGTTGGCCAAAATAATTCATGACTAATCGAAGTCTCTTTATTCTATATCTTGGATATTTTTATTGTCTTATCTTACACTTTTATCCCCTTATATTGTTGACCTTCTCTATAAATATATATTTACATACCAACAAATTATAAAATTAAAAAAACAACTTAACTGTTTTTGGACTATAAGATAGTATTTTGCTTGTTATACCTATTCAAGAAAATCAAATGGGTATACTGGGTTTTTACAATATCCATCTGGAATTTAAATTTCAAATTTACACCAAGATAAAAACATACATGTATACCTATAGGGAGGTGGCAATTAAAAAACTATATCTTTTCTTTGGAGTTGGCAGCCTTTTGGCCGTGAATGAGTATTCTGCAGTCGGTAACACCCGACTGCAATGTTTTTACATGATTTGAAATAAAAGCTCTATTAAATCCCTTGTAATAGTATGTATGTTTTCATTTTATACTTTTTTTTCTGTTTCCCCATTTAATCTACTACGGAGAAGGAGTAATTGAAAGGCCACTCACTGCCGCATGCCACATTATTATGCCATAAGGCTTCTCGTAATTGATGCTTTGCACTACTTATGTTGTAGCCTGTTGCATGTCACTCACACACACAGAAACACACACGCAAACACACTAACGCCCGCCCACAACAAAGAGGCCGCAAACAATTGAATCGAAATCGCTTAGTCCTTTCAGGGAGCTGTCGCGAGCACCATCTAATGTCACTAATGCTGCATTCGAGCAGTCATCGACAGCATCAATTAGTGGCTCATTATGGCAGCCACGTTCACAGACCATTAGCCCACAGTGGTCCATATGTATATATGCTTTAATTGAAGATCAACAGTTTCTCTGGGTCTGAGWGCGGGTGCGGGTGCGGSCGGTTGTGGGGCTTACCTTGAAGCGGTTTATGCCGCCGCCAAAGCCACCAGAGCTGTGCAAATCATCATCGTCCAAGCTGCTGCCGCCCATGCCGCCCAGCATGGACTCATTCAGCTTGGCGCTGTGGCGTCTCAGCTGATAGGCGCCCGCTGAATTCAAGGTGGCAGCTGGCTTGTAGTAGTAGGGCGGGTGCTGGTGGCGGTGCGCGTGGAGGGCGGAGGCGGTTGTGGCCGCTGCCGCAGCATCCTCAAAGTCATAGTCCAGCAGCTCGATTGGATGCTCGCATTTGCAGCGATGCGGCGGTGTTCGATGTGGTGTCGTCATAGCAGATTGAGGATGCTGGTGGTGTCTGCTTTTGTTGCCATTGTGGTGGCTATGACTGTTGCTGCCATGCGGATGTGGATGCGGATGCGGATGCGGCGGATGAGGCGGTGGCGGAATGTCTGCGGGTGTTATATAGATTTTACCACCACCCCCACCCCCACCCACAGCACCAGCCACAGTGCCCACAGCGTCCGGTTGATGCAGCTGCTTGCTCGGCCAGTGGAACTCGTCAAACTCGCTCGAACTGTTGACCAGTTGTTGTTGCTGTTCCCACTGCAGCTGTCGAAGCTGTTGTTGTTGCTGCTGTTGCTGTTGCTGTTGCTGCTGTGGTATGTGTCGCATGCAACTTTGTGGCTGTTGTAGCAGTTGTTGTTGCTGCTGCTGCTGCTGCTGCTGCTGCTGCTTGTGGTAGCGAAAATATTGCTGTTGCTGTTGCGCTGTGGCCGTGGAGGCGGGCAAATACTTTTCATCGCGGCCAGAACAAGAAGAGTAGCCATATAAATTGTTTGTTGACAGCAAAAAGTGTTCTCTGTTCGTATTCGTATTCGTGTGCGTGTACGTGTTCATGTGTTTGTGTGCTTCAGCGGGAAGGACGGGCGGAATTGGATATAAAGCTTAAGTTGGCTCATATATTTTTGGCATAAAGCAAAAAGTGGACAGTGCACAAAATCAAAGAGCAGCTAAGGGCAGCAAGCATAGCGAGCAACTACAATAAAAGAGACCTTAAATTGAAATTATGGCAAATAAAAACAATTAAATAAAGCTCTCAGCTCGGAGTAACCGCATAAATAGAACAAGTTCCCGAATTTCGTCGCTTAATCAGATTATTCTTAATTGGCTTTCCGCTTCTTTCATTTATGTATTTTAAATAGCTTTATCGGAGAACCAGTTAATCAAAGCCGATTGAAGAAAATATTGATTGATAATAATAATAATAAATTGAGCTGTGTAGTTCATAAGCTGTTTAACAAGCAAAATTGATCGCTCTTCGAACTTAAATTGGGAAATGAAAAAATAATAAATAAAA